CAGCCGGCCCCCAGCCAGGATGGCGGCCCCCGCGCCAGCCCAGCCTGCCCTCAGCCAAGATGGCGGCCCCCGCGGCAGCCCAGCCTGCCCTCGCCCAAATGGGGGGAAGGCGGGGCGCGGGGAGGTGCCGGCTTGTTTTAATAAGCCCGTTCGTCCCCAGCTTTTAGGCTGCGTGTTTCGGAAAGGCAGAGAGGCGCTAGAGAAAGGAAGGGCACAGGGTAGGGTACTCCCGCAGCCTGTGGTGGCAGGGTCTGACAACGGCTCTGCACAAATCACGTTGGTAAAGACAGGACATATTTGGTTTTCTAAGTCTCGTAATCAATTCTGCTGGTCTAGAACTTAACTAAATACACACTGCATTGCTTCTCATTTCCTAGATGGGAGTATCAGTAAAGATCCCGGGAGACTTGTCTGCTGCTCCGAAGGCAGAGGGGTTGTCCCAGCAGAAGGAAGGTGACATCCCGTCTTTGCTGGAACCAGTTGTCACGAGCTGAGTTGGGGGCTTCCCTTGTTCTGCGTATTTTGAGCTGGCCAACAGAACACCCCAAACTCATCTTCACACCTGGCAAAAGTTTCATTTCACAGTTGCAGACTCTGAACTCGGCTTTCTACTGCTGCACAGGTAGAGGAGTGAAATGCAGCTCCGTGTGATCTACATGAAGCAACAGACCCTGGACTGCCATCATAAAAAGAAGTGTTAGGAAGTCAGTTTCTCACTGGAACTTAGAAAAGAGATGTCACCATTTTATTGACAGTCACTGACAGTTTATAAAAAAAACACCATTCTAACATACATAAAAGCTTTAGGCCAGAAATAACAAGTAGAAACAGCATTCCTCCCTGCCCACCCCCCTCCCCCAGATACTGTAATACAAACTCCAGTTTGTTTTCTTTAAATTGGTTTAATCTTGAAGTGTAGTCCAATAAGACTGAAGACTAAACACTTAAGATCCTGGACCAGGTAGTAGAATACTCTCAAGCCCTCTGGATCCCTGCAGGACACAACAGAAGGAAGGAAAACAAAAGTTTAATTGGTGTTCTGAGAGAGCAGTTTATAGAACTAACCTATTAAAACAAAAGCAACAAAGGCTATAGCGAGACTTTTCAGAGGCCATATGAGACATAAACAGATTTGTTCCATCCTGCCTGGATTCTTGAAAATACAGCAGGTAACAACACAGTCTTAAATCACTTGGTACAGAACACAGCACA